AGAGAGACAGAGAGAGAGAGACAGAGAGAGAGAGACAGAGAGAGAGAGACAGAGAGAGACAGAGAGAGAGACAGAGAGACAGAGACAGACAGAGACAGAGAGACAGTCACAGAGACAGAGACAGAGAGAGAACATGTACCATCACAGCTTCCCCGACCTTCCCACGTGGAGTTGTTTTCACATTTGTGGTCTCATTGTAATTGTCCTTTACCTCCTCATGCTCTGTCCTTCACAGAAATTATTTGTTCAAAAGCAGTCCTGTACGTGAGTGCCTCAAGGTCAGAGACTAGATTGTCAGAGCCCAGCAGCTCCTGGCACAAGACAGGAGCTCCAGAAGTGTTTGCTGGATGGAGCTGACACCCTACCCATGCACACTGGAAAAACATCCCTCTTTTGGCAAAGTAGATGAAGTAGAATAGTTGGTAGGAACAGGGACCTGGGCAGGGATGGTGCCTGTGAGGGACCTGCCACCTGCTATAGCATTCTGGGGGGACGTTCTGGGCCCCAGCACCTGTGCTTCCGCTAAGACCTCCAGAAAGCAAGAACACTTCTCCCTGTGGCCTTCCAGCCTTCCATTCCACAGCCTGCCTTACCTGTCTTCCTTATTGATCTGGTCCCCAAAGCCCACTGTGCTAACAATCGTGAGCTTCAGCCCCACGTTGCTCTCTTGAAGGTCATAGGTATTGGACCGGAGTTGGACACCTGGCTGGGTGTGGGTGGCTGGCTCCCCCTCGAACTTGGTGTTGAACAGGGTATCCATGAGGGTGGACTTGCCCAAACCTGTCTCTCCTGCAAAACAAAAGGATAAATTAGGGTCCATTCACACAGTGACCATACAGCTACTACACGTCACACTTTGGATGTGTACCTACCAACACGGGGAAAGGTACGTAATAAAATACTAAGTGAAAAGTACAGCACAGATGATGTGATCTCACTTAAATGAAAAGGATCAAAAGGAAACACAATACCATACAAGCAGAATCATCTCACAATAGTAGAACTAGAATGATTTTCATTTTACTCTTCTAATTTTTCCTGTTATTTGAAAATTTTATCTTGAATATGAATTGCTTTTATAGTCAGAAAAAGAAATTATGTTATAAGCGGTGATGAAAAAACTAGAAGGAAATAAACTACTCTTAACAATGCTCACCAGTGGGTGGTGAAGCTAAATGTGGTTTTCAATTTTCAGTGTTTTCCAAGTTTTCTAAGTATGTAGAACATGTATGGCTTTTTTTAAAGAAGATATAATATTTATAGGGTTATTGTCAAATTTTAGAAAGAGATACTAGTGCCTTGTCAAACAAATATCTTCCCATTCCATTTCCCCTCTCCTTGCCAGGCCCAAACAGCACTCAGTAGCTATCCTGGATGTGTCTCCCAGTGAGGAGATTGTGTGGACCTTAGGTATCCCGGATGTGTATACCAGGAGGGAGACTAGGTAAGTCCTAGACTTCTCTCAGCTTGACTGAACTTTCAGTGAGACCATTCTTTAGTAATGGGGAGGCAACTTAACAGACCAAAAATTACTATTCTCTAATTTTAAACAAGCTAGCCATTTGTTTAATAAATTAAACAGTTGGAAATTCAAGTCTTGAATTTCATGCTAGAGAGGTGGACAGTGAAGGCTGTGGGGACTGGTGAAGGTTTGGGGATATTGTCCTTGGGAGACCAAGGAATAACAAGCCACTGCCTGGAGCTAAGGGGTCTTTAGGGAATGAAACATCATAAGAATTCATGAATTAGAGGGAAGCTGGTAACCTGGAAGCTAGGCAGCAATCTGATATAAAGCCACAAGCTGGCCTAGGCACCAACCAGTTGCAATTCCCCCATTTCCACCCCTGTACCCCAAGTCATTCAGGAATACTAGGAATAAAAAAGGCAGCCCAAAAAATACTTGGGCTGCCTTTTGAATGCGTAAGACTACCCTATTATTTTTCTAGTATTATCTCTCTTTTACCCACCCACTTGTCCAACCCTAGGGATGTGAGCTTTAACTTCTCTTCCCAGTCAGAGTAGGTTTACACTGGACAAATCCTGTCTGGTAACAATCTCCCCTTGGGACCAACCGTACTTACTTGCAAGGTGGTCCAGAGCTTGGGTTAGAGCTGCATGACTGGAAACCAAAACTGCTCTATCTCCCCTCCACCCTCTGGGTGTGTCTAGCTTTACATCATTAGGGCCTCTTTTATCCTGGATAATGAGCTACGTATGCAAGAGACGGTTTTAAAACTATGAGAGCATTCTATGTGCGGAGAAGGAAGAGGCGGAGTCACCCAGAGACAGTGACTGAAATAGAGAGAAAGAACAAAAACATTCAATTCCACCGGGCTACTGGATCTCTCGGCCCTATGTCATAGCCAGGTCTAACATGGTAGATTGCCAGGGTATGCAGAAATGGTTCCTCAGACAGATCGTATTTCCAGGCAGGGTCTGCTACACCTATTAGCAGCAAACACTCCAGAGAAAGGCTCCTGGGTCTTTGCAATGGGAGGGGGAAGACTTGGGCAAGTAGCTGGATATATTCCCATCCACCCCACCCAAGGTAGGGGTATAGCTCAATTGCAAATGGGGCCAGCACCCCTGAGGCAGGAACACTAGAGGCACTGAGGTTTAAGCTTTTTATATATGCCTAATGGATTTTCCAGAGTGCACATACCCACACCTCTTTTCCTAAGCTCCTTGCTCAATGCCCTGCAGCACTGGGAGAGGGCAGTTCACTGGCTCCCAGTCCTGAGAATTCTCTGATAATCGCCCCGTACTCTGAAGTGCCCAGCACCGGCCTTGTGCAGAGGGCCTTTGGAGCACACTGCAGAGGGCAGGACCAACCCTGTTTGCACAGCTGGAGAAATGAAGACTGGGCAGTGCAGGGCAGGGCAGGGCAGGGCAGGCCGCAGCGTAGGCCAGTGGGGAAAATGACCACCCAGATACTCGTCCACACAGAAGGATTGTGGCAATTAGACTGAAAAAAAAAAAAGAACTTGTGGGTGTCCAGGGAATCACAATACATGCAGCATTGGAAGAGGGCAGAAGGGGCTGGGGAGATGGCTCAGTGGAATAAGGCTTCCCTGGCAAGAGCAAGGGCCTGAGTTCAAGCCCTGGTTCCACCAAAATTTACAAAAAAAAAAAAAAAAAATACAGCCAGCTCTTTCCAGGGCTACACAGTGTACCCATCCCAGGTTACCATCTTGTGGAGCCCAAGGAAGGGGTAGGGTAGACTCTCTCTCTCAATGGCTAGCCCACACCCAGCCCAGCCCAGGATGCGGGCCCCTCCTGTGGCTACCCTGGGCTCAGCACACATGGCCTAACAGTTAGGTCAGCAGATCCCACGCCCCTGCAGGAGGTGGGGACTTGGTAATTAGGTTCCAGCAGGAAACCTAAGACATCCCCAGGGTCTATTTCCCTCTTCTCCCCGGCCTTCCTAGAGCATCTCATAGTGGGCAGCAGCCTTTCTTATTCTTTTATAAACTTCTGTTTCATTTTGTTTTGTGCTTTGTTTTTGTTGTTGTTCTTGTTATTTGAGACAAGATCTCACCATGTAACCCAAGTCAGCCTCAAACACACATTCCTCCTGCCTCCGCCTCCTGAGTGCTGGATGACAGGCCAGTATACCCAGCTTTTTGCCCCTTTTAAATCATACTGCATAATCCAAGAGTATTTTTTCTCAGTTTCCTTTATGTAGACAGTATCCTAGAAACAATAGTTTAAAAAAATGTCCCATTTCAAACTATACACAGTCTGATATAGACCTCACCCTGGCCTAGAAACACACTGTACTAAAGCAAAATTGAGTGCTTCTCCTTATTTACTGCTAATACCTGCATCCTTTTGCACCTTGTGCAGCTGAATTGTTGCAAGTTATGAAATGAGTACTCCAAGCCAGGTTATCACTAAATTACTGGGTGACTGAAGTCGAGACCTTTTCCTCTCTGCATCTCCGTTTATTTTCCCATAAAAGGAGAAAATGGGGATGATGCCAATAGCTATTGTTTATGGTGAGTTTAGACCAGGCATTACTGTAAGGAAAAATATATATTTTCCTTTTGTGTTGCCAGAGATAGAATCAAGACCTCACACATGCAAGGCGAGCGCTCTACTGCAGGACCACAGCCCCACCACCCCTTGTAGCTTCGTATTTATTCCCCACAAGGAGCCAATGGTAAATCCCCAGTGTTTCACACAAACTAAGCAAGTGCTCTATCACTGAAATGCATTCCCCAAGACACTACAGTTGGGTCCAAAGCCACTTACAAGCTGTGTGAACTTACTCAGCTCCTCTTGCTCTTTGCACCTTATTTTCCTCATCTGTACAATGTGGAGGAAGTAACAGTCCAAGGTTACAAACAGTTACTAAGTTGCAGGGCCAGGGATATAGCTCAGTGGCATGAGCACATGTCTGGCAAATTCAAGGTTCTGAGTTCGAATTCAGATACCCCCCCACCCCAAAAAAGTCACAAACTACTAAGCTGTAGATCCAGTATTTACATATAGGCAGGCTGACTCTGGAACCCATGCTGTGTGTGTGTGTGTGTGTGTGTGTGTGTGTGTGTGTGTCTGTCTGTCTGTCTGTCTGTCTGTCTGTCTGTCTGTCTGTGTGTTACTGGAGAATGAACTCAGGGGTGCTCTGCCACTGAACTATACTCAGATCTTTATGGGGTTTTTTCACTTGTTGTTTGGAACAGGGTCCTGCTAAATTGTCTAGGCTGGCAAACTTGTGGTCCCCCTGCCTCAGCCTCCCAAGTAGCTGGGATTATAGGTATGAATCCACATCTTGGAGCCCATTTTTGTTTTGTTCTACTTTGCTTTGCTTTGTTTTGAGACAGGGCCTCACTTTGTAGTTCAGGCTGAGTTTTTTTTTTTCATATTCTTTGGAAACTTTATTTTTCATGCATCCATACAAACTGCACATTTTATGGGGTACTACATGATAGTTTGATACATGTACACATTGTGAAATGTTCAGAGGGTGAATAATCTTTTTCCTCAAACATTTATTATTTCTTTGTGGTGAAACATTCATGATTTCTCTCTTCTAGAATTTTTGAAATATAATACACATGAAACCTATATTTTTTGGTGGTAGTGGTGGTGATCAGACCCAGGGCCTCACACATACAAGGCAAGTGCTTTTACCACTGAGCTACACATCCAGCCCTAAAAGCATAATTATAAAGGCTATATATTTTCCCATTGAGCCCTCCTTAATTGATTCAATCAGATTCTTTTTTTTTTTTGAGAATGTTGCCTGCCAACTCATTGTCCTTTTTCCCCCCATAATTTTATTGAGAAACAAATAGCAATGAGACAGTTTCAAATCAAATTGGTAGGACAGTTTCAATAATTAACACATTGCATACTGTCTTCCTAGTAGTTATTTGTTGTACAAGATGCAGACATGATACCCTATTTACAAACACTACTAGAACAAATCCCTCTATTCATTAAGAGAATGTAACGATATATATATCCTAATCACTTTGAATACACAGATACAAAATGGACATTCATCTGTATCCCCTTTTTTTGTTTAGCTCCATTATTTGAATATTATAGGTGTGTTAACTCAGCAAAATATTCTAAAAGAGTCCAGTAGCCCATAATAGCATTGGGTCTTCCGCTTGACTGGCAATGTCAGAAATTGTTGACCTGAGTCCCCCACAGCTCAACATAAAACATGGCTTTACTTCCTATATTTCGTCTTCATACTTTTCTACTGGATGGTTGAGACCAAAGTAAAGCAAGACCTATGCAACAAGAGTTGTAGCTTTTGGGTCTGATAAGGTCAGTGGAATCCCCTCAGGATTTATCCTGAGATCCTGTACCTCAGACTGTAGAACCTTTGTCAGTGTCAGCCATGTGGATGAGTCACGACCATTGCTTGGCCAATTTGCTCTCTGTGAAAGTCAGGCTGGCTTTGAACTCACTTATGTAGCCCAGGTTGCTCTCAAACTTAAAGTGATCCTCCTGCCTCAGCCTCCCAAGTGCTAGGATTACAGGCGTGTGCTACCATGGCCATGTTTTTAATCAATATGCAACAGCAAGGGCCATAGGCATGACGTGTTTCCTTATTTAGTGTCATCTTACAAGAACTCACAAATCTTCGAATAGGAGCCAGGTAGTTACAAAAGCTGAGGGTAAGGCAACGAACAAGAATGCCCCAATCTCTGCTCACATGGAGCTAAATACTCTTCCAGCTCTAAATGCTGGAATAAATCAAGAGAAAGGTTTGAGTTCAATAGGGAGGTGTCTAAAAGAAAATGCTCCAGGAACTCCAGTTGGTCAAGAGAACCTAGGGACAGACACAAGGTCCAGCCTGGCTGTGTGACCTTTCCCTTTCTCCTTTCTGATCTTGTAGAGGCCTGGCAGACTGTGGTGTCCTGGAGCCAGCTCATACAGCTTCCTGTATTTCTTTCTAAACCTGTGTGCAATGATGTCATGTTGGTAGCTTAAAATCAGCTATGGTGGGGGAAACAACACCACAGAAATCAGTGGCTGCTACAAACCATGGAAAGTTTCCCCTTACAGTGGTCTATTAGACTTTAACCACTGCTCCCAATGTGCTTTACATAGGTAAGCAGCTAGCTGCACTTCCCAGAGATAGGGGTAAAATCACTGGGCCCTGACCTTGACAGAATATTCGTTGCCCTTTTTCCTCCTGCAGTAAGCCTCAATCCTGCTTGTGTGTGCCTTTGTCCAAGTTCAACAGAGCCCAGTTGAGCCTGGAATTCAGAGAAGCTTCAAAATAAATATTATCATTATGGCCCTGTGTGCTCCTCCCACCCATTACCATCGCTGGCACATGGGATGGCGAGGTCTCTTTGGGGCTTTTGCCCAAAAGCGCAAAAGTGCCTGGCCCCCAGAACATTTGTACCGCTGGCTCCAGAGGCCTCCTACCCTTTATCGATAATCACAAGATCCTCCAAACTTCCAAAGGGAAGAGACCAGAGTATGACTTCTGATTATAGAGGAGAACCTCGTCCCACTCAGTAATTATTATTGACTGGAAGGAATTTCTTTGAGGAGTCGTGATATGCTGGCGTCCATGTGCCTCGCTAAAGGTGCCCTCCACTGGGGTCATTACACACAAGCTATATTCTAGATTTATAAAATTCTCTACTTCGTTCTCAATCCCCACATCCACACATTTGCACACATATACACACATATATGTAGAATATTTATTCGATGGGCATGGGCCTATAATCAGTAGCCCAGAAGCAAGAAAAACGATACGGTAGAAAAAATATCCTAGGTTTCAGTTAATAATTGAAGCTAGCACTATTATCACTTTACACTGAAAATGTCTATCAGAAAAGAAAATTAATATTTGGGAGAACACATTCTATGAGCAAACAGAACCACTTTCAACAGCCATTAAGAAAGTAAACCTGACAGTTATACCCAGGCAACAGGCATAAAAACACAGTCCTTGAGAGTCCTGCAAGAGAAAAGATAAGCTTGTACAGGCAAGCTAGATATTCTCTGCCAAGTTAGTGACTGGATCCAGTGCTGTGGTCAAGCTGAGGCTGCCACCTCAGAGCCACCCTCAGCTGCTCATGACCTTGATCCAAATTATAGTGTAAGCAACGACACGGCTAACAGCACAGCAAGATGCATGAGGTGTGGACTTTTGGGGATCAGGGATAGGGAATGAGATGGACCCACCCAGGGCCAGCTGATACAGCCCGTAGCTGCACCGACAAATCTAAGAGGCAAGCCATCGGGGTGGCCATGTGTGACTCCTTGGCAGGCGGGGGGGGGGGTCTCCTTCCTCCTTCTCCCATCTTGCAGAGACTGTCCCAGGCAGCTGAGTGGCTCTACTCCAAGGGCAGGTGCTGCTGAAGCAGAGGAAGCTGCACAATGTTGAGGTGGGAAGCACAAGGCAGGAGTTTACTTTTTCTCTCACTCACTGTGCCTTGAGCTTGGCAACTTCTTCCTTTGGGCCCCAGGGAAGCCTGTGAACAAATTTCCTCACACTTCCACCCTCCGAGTGCCATTCTGTCTCCCAGGGCCTCCCCCCACCCAAAGCTTTTCTAGTCTGCCCCACTGCATGAAAGGTGTGTCAGTTAGTCTGTCATTTGACTTCTTATCTCCTCTATTTCAGCACAGGTCAGATGGAACTCTAGGAGGAATGAATGCCAAGGGAATCTGAGATATCTTTGCTGAAATATTTTGGTAATCAAATATTATGTGAAATAAGTTGGCCTTCAGCCAAAGATTAGATACATCGTTAGTTAAAATAGAGATTTGGCAATACTAAAATTGGATGCGATAGCATTTGCTCTCAATATTGAGAACTCCGATTTCTATTTATTTCATCTCTCTCCTAATAGTGCCTAAACATGACCATGATTTAGACTTTCGGTATTTAAAGAGTTAAGAGTCTCAATCTAGACTTGAAAGCCCCTGATGCGTAATGCGTGAAGCATATATTTTTATCTCATAGGTTCCAAAGCTGATACGTAGGAGTGAGTCATTTACCTACTGAGTGCGCGTAGCCGAGTGTCTGGCATCCATATTTAGAAGTGGCTTTGTTGTTTTCTACTTGTGCTTAGTATGCAGTGATTCTCTTATAAAAAATGACCCAGAAAAAAAAGGGATTAGGGACAGAAAAGAAAAACTAAGTAACTCAAGAAAATGTCCTTTGTGAGACAACAGAGCTTTTGATTACATTAAAGAGTAAGATATTCAATTCAGTAGCAGTTCAGACCTACAACTTGAGTGAGTCCCCCCCCTTGTGCTACCAAAAATAAGAAAAGGCAATTTAGCATAAGTGTTGAGTGTTCCTGCCAGGGTGAAAACTGACTTTATTATGGCAATTAGATAAGCATTAAGGTTCAGAAGGAGGTCGCTGAAAATATGCAGGTATGCTTTCCTACACTGTGGAGTGAAAATTATATGCTGATTGTGTTTGTAAATTTGGGGCTTTTAAGGTCTAAGGCAAGATCATTAAAGAATCTTGAGGAATATGGTCCTGATCATTAAAGAATCTTGAGGAATATGGGCTGATGTTTAACAGTTTCCAAAAGCCTTCGTGTTCTCAAGAGGCACTGCTGGCAGCAGTTCAAGAGCAGTGGGAAGGCCCAGGGGTTGGCTGAGCAAGGGACCTCCTGATGGCTCTGCTGTTCTTCCCCTACTGCCTCCCCGAGATTCTGCATCTCCCTGAATTCTCTGAAGGCCCGGACACTATTTGCTGTGCTCGCATTGTGGAGCAAGGACTAAAAAGGCTCGTGTAAGACACAGTTGGCGAAGTAGAATGAGTGGCTCCTGGAGGGTTAACTCAGTCATTTCATTTTGTTTCACTAACATTCAGGAGCTCTTTTTGTGCCATTATGAGCAAATAGAGGTACAAAGATGTGGCTCCCACAGTGGTGATTAAAGGTCTAGGCAGAGATGCAGATAAAGGGGAATTAAAGACCTTCGCACAAGGCTCTGTGATCCCTACACTCAAGTGCAAATGGTAACCAAGCATAGTGAAGCTGCTTGCTCAATGGCTTAAGTGCCTACCTGTAAGTGTAAGGTCCTGAGTTTGATCCCTGGTACCAAAGGAAAAAAAAAAAAAAAAACAATCCTCCCCACAAGATTTCCAGAGGGTCTCATACAGCTCCATTTCCTCCAGCACATGTCCCCAGAGTCTGGTCTGGCCAGGGAAAAAAATAATTACAACTGGATGCTTACAAAAATACACAGAAGGGTAAAAGAATATGAGGGAGGAGAGCCAGGCATAGTAGCACATGCTATAATCTCAGCATTCTGACAGGCTGATGCAGAAGGATCACAAGTTCAAGCCTAACGTGGGCAATTTACATCTTTAGTGAGATGCAATCCCAAAAGAAAAGTATAAAGTGACTGGAATGTAGCTCAATGAGAAAGCTCTGGGTTTAATCCCCAGTGTTCTGTAAAAGGGGGCTGTTATGGTTTCTGTCTAGTTGTCCCCCCAAAGCCTCATGCAGTCATGAGGTGAGGACTTTTAGAGTTTGTGTTAACTCATGATCCACTGAGGTTATGTGTGATCCAAGGCTGGGATTATGGGTTTTAGTACTGCTGGGATTACCCATAGTGGGTAAGTACTGGGAAGTACCCATAGGTGTGAGTACTTCCCCTACCCTGGGGCAGGTAATTTGCATTACAATGTAAGGTGGGAAGAGAAGCTAGCTGCTTGAGCTGCTGCTACCCCTCCCTTGCGCTCTTGCTCTTTGCCACCACCACGAAAGGTTACTTTCTGCTGTGTGCTGCTCTGCACAGGACCCAGCTGAGTATGGACTGAAACCTCCAGTAACTGTGAGCTAAATAAACCTTTCCTTCCTTCATTTTGAGTGTGGGTATTTGTCCCAGCAACGAGAGAAGAGTAACTAAGACAGGGGCCAAGAGGGACTCTTGCATTCTGGTCAGAGCAGCACACTCTTTAATGTAATTACCTGCAAAGCTACATCCAGCCATCAAGAATCCAAGGGTCCATATTCTGTAATAGAATTTCCTGCTATGGAAATACTCACCCACACACAAGATGTTGAAGCAAAAGCCTTGGCTCACTGACTTATTCACCAGCTGGTCAGGCAAGCTGTCAAACCCTACATGTCCAGCCAGGGGGACAGTTCGGCAACCTTCACCCTAAGGTGGGAAGGGAGGAAGAGGAAACAATGAAAATGTGCTTAAAGACAATCTGGGTGTGGATTCACTGTGCAACCTCCACCCTTACCCAGGTCCGGTGTGTCACCACCTCCCTCAGTCACTGCCCACTTCAAAGCAAAATGGCCTTCAGCTTGGAAGTCATGGCTTCTTGGGCACAGGCACCCTCTAGATACATTTCTAGACAGCACTACAGAGAAGACATGTCATGGATGGGAGTGCAGGGTCAAAGGAAGAGCTCACTCACACCCCACATTCCCAGACTTGGGTTAAATTTAAACTTGATCACTTATGAGCTAGGTAACTTCTCAGAGACTTCATTTCCTTCCCTATGTATCATATAAGATAATGTGATCCAGCTTAGAGGCGACTTGGAGACTCAAGTGTGTTGACATATGTAATGAGCTTAATATATGCTTAGGTGTTGAGTAAATATTCCTAAAAAGCAATTAATCCTCTCTCTAGGACAGTTTGGGGATCTACAAAGGCCACACAACCTAAAGGTTAAGAGGGCAGGCTTTGAAATCCAACATGTCACTGGGTATAGTGACACATATCTGTAATCCCAGCACTTGGGAGGCCGAGGCAGGAGATCACCTTAGTTTGAGTCCCACCTTTGCCAACTTCTGGCTGTGTAACCCTTGACAAATTACTTAGCTTTTCAAAGGAACTAATAGCTAAAAACAGGAACTAATAGCTAGTGGGCAGTTCATATAAGACAATACGTCTCACACACTTACCATAGTGTCTACCACGAACTAACCATTCAGTCGACAGTAGCTGTGACACTACCCTGAGACCTGTAATGTCATGGCACACTTGTGGCTCCCTGTGACTAAATAGCTGCTCCTGGCTTCCCTTGGTTCCTTAGATTCCTCAGGAGTCAGCCAAGATTCTCCTGTCCCTGGAAAGCAGAGGGCTCTTGCTTTGCCTGCAAGCCTCAGAGCTTCTTAGAGTTAATGGTCTTAAAAAAAAAAAAAAAAAAAAAAAACAGGGACGCCTCAAACTAGGGCAGGCTTCTAAGCAGCCAGGGGGAGGACAAAAAAATGGCGAACACACACTCCAGAAATGTGCCAGCTGCCAACAGTCATGGCAGAAGGGAGGGGAAGCAAGAGGAGAAAGGAAGAGCAGGGGGCTGCAGACGGTTGAGCTCCATGAGAATGGACTGTGGAAGGAGTCAAGATTTTTGTTGGGTGGGGCTGCTTCCCACAACAAGAAAGATGCAAAGAGCAACCCAAGAGGGCATGGCTAGCTCCAGCAGCCACGCCAGCAGGCAGCTCTGGCACTGGCTGGACCTGCTGGTACACTAGGTCCAGAGGAAGGGGGTCACACTTTCACAAAAAAGGGACCAGCCATGATGCTGGAGGAGACTCTCAGCCACCGACGTCATCAGGAGTGGCCCCCACACAGCCCCTTCGTCCTGCTCCAGATCCCATTCCCACTGGTGTCAGTGGCTCCCCCAAGAGCCAGTGCTGGTGACTGCCATTTGGCAGGTTCAGTACCTCACACATACCATCCCACACACTCCCAGGGGAGCATTCTCGACAGACGACCATATGCCACCGTTCAGTCAGGTGGGCGTGCTCTGAAGACAGCTGAGTCTCACGCAGAAGCCACTTCACTCAGGGCTTTGTTCTACACTCACATCTTCCACATCCCCTTCCCTTTTCCCCCTGCTTCTTTTTTTTTTCCATTGAAGGAAACAGTAAGTTGCCCACTGCTGGCTCCTCTGCTCTTCTCCTCCCTGTGGGGGGAAATGACTTGAGAGGCCGAGTGCTTGCCCCATGGAGCCTCCTACCTAGCAGGCCTCAGAAATTGGGAGACTCTGAGTTGAGGTTTCCTGCAACATATTTTATCACCTCTGGCTGCCTCTTCCTGTCTCCAAATTCAGCAGCATGAAATTTCAAGTGCTGCAAAGGTTCTGGCCTAATGCCAAAAAGAGAGCAAAGGAATTCTAAAAGTAAGATGGTCCAGGGCAGTGAGAAGAGCCTCGACCTTGTTCTTGAAGATTTACTTCACTGTCAAATTACTGAACACCTCCCATGTGCTCACCATTTTCTCCCACCAAGCACGGTGCTGTAAAGAGCCCTGAAAAGCAAAAGGAATATGGGCCCTGTTTCCCAGGCTGGCGATGGTGAAACTTTTAGAGACCGAGTGCCAAACTGCAACCCAAAACCCATGTATTTATCACAAAGTGCTACTCTGCAATTGGACCTGAATATTGAGATTTTAGTCCAGGAAAAAAAAAAAAAAAAACCAGTTATCCCATGCTTGGCTGCTGGGACAACTTGGCTCGCATGCTGAGGGAGAGGGCTTTGCAGCCCGCTGCGGCACGTGTATCATCATTTTGCTACCACTGCCCTAAGCTTAGAGGACTTGAGTGTTTTGGTTTTTTGGTGGAACCGGGTATTGAACTCAGGCCCTTGTGCTTGCCAGGGAAGCGCTTATTCTACTGAGCCATCTCCCCAGTCCAATTTGAGTGTTTTGAGCAACAAGGGCTATGGTACAAACAGTGAGCTTTACTGTTGTTGTTTTGAGACAGGGTGTCCCAGAAGGGTCTTAAACTTTTGGTTCTCCTGCTTCAGCCTCCAGAGTGCTGGGATTACAGGTGGGCACTAGATCGGGCACAAATAGTGTTTTGAAAGCTCATTCTAGCTGCAGAGTGTTCAACTGACTGGAGAATCAAGAGACTAGAGGCAGGAGGACATATGAGGAGATGGCTCGAATCCTGTTGAAATGGCAGAATGACACCCAAAGAACGAGGCTATATGCTGGAAGAAGTGAACTGACTTGATTTGAGACTCAAAAGCAAGGAACTGGGACTGTAGTACTCACTGGTCCTGCATGTGTTTAGCATGCATGAGGCCTTGAGATAGATCCCCTGCACTGAAATTGAAAAAAAGAAAAAACAAATGGCCGGGGAGATAGCTCAGTAGAATAAGTGCTTCCCCGACAAGCGCAAGGGCCTGAGTTCAATCCGCGGTTCAAAAAAATAAAAAACCCGGAACGAACCTGAGAGCTGTCCTAAACAAGGGATGAGACCAAAAGTGACTTGCCAGAGGGAGTGAGAGTGCAATCAAAGCTGAGGGCCTGGATTGATAGCACCACGGGTGGAAAGAGGCCAGGAAAGACAGCTTTAATTAGGGATATCAGAAGCATGTATTATCAAATAAGCCATTACTAAAAACATTATGTTTATCAGCTTTTATGTTTTATAAAAGTAATCAATGTTCATTGTAGAAATTTTAGAACATGTAGAAATTATACAGAAGAAAATAAAAATCACTCTTAGTATCTTTCTTCAGACATAGCGTCAATATTTATATATATTTCCCTCCTGTCTGTATCTTTTCTTTTTTGTTACTGGGTATTGAACCCAGGGCCTTGGCACTAAGCTACATCTGCAGCTCTATTTTTATTCTTTATTTTAAGAAAAGGCTTCACTCAGTCACTAAATTGCCCAGATGGGACTCCAACCTGCAGTCTTCCTGACTAATCATCTTAGAATGCTGGAGTTACAGGTGCATGCCCCCATGCCCAGCTGAGGCTGGAGCTACTTCTAACAAAACAGCAATGTTCCTGCACATTCTTCCTTATAACCTGACTTATTAACCTCACAATATAGTTTAGACATCTTCCTGAGTAATGAAGCATACTTCTAAAAGGTTTTTTGATATTGGGGATTGAACCCAGGCCTATGTTCTGAACTACATCCCCAATCCTTTTTAAAATTTTTATCTTTGAGACAGGGTCTTACTAAGTTGATAAACTGCCTAGGCTGGGCCCATAAGCATCATTTTTAATGGCTATATAACATTACAGTGCAGAAATCTGCCCTATTTTCTTAATCTACCTTTTCTTAGTCCATCCATACTGCTGGACATTCAGTGTGTCTCCAAGTTGTCAACATAATAAACAACAAATTGGTTTTTCTTACATATGTCTCCTACATACTTCTTTGCATACATCTCTGATTACTTCTGAGTATTAAAGCCTACTGAATCAGACAGTAGCATACACTGAGACATCATCTTAACAGAGGATAATTCAAATGCATGTTTAACAGAGAATATGAAAATGCTTATATCCACACAAACACTGGCTTTTTAGCCATTATAAACTGAATCACAGAAAATGATACCGGGTTGTTTAATTTGCATTTTTACCAGCGAGGGTAACATTTTTTCATTGCTCAGCCATATATGTGTATTGTGTATGCACATGTGAATCACCTAGTAGCGTGTTTGTCTATTTTAAAAAAGTGATCTTTCTCTTGGATTCATAAAATCATATTGTATATTAGGGAAAATAAGATTATTTTGATTTTATGGTGAGATATCTAAAAGAATAACTCCAATAAATAGTTAGCAATATGGGACTGTAGGCTCCGAGTAAATTCAGGATTCATATAAATTTAGGAGTGAGAGGTATGAAGTTGGATGTGGGAGCTAGTTCCGAGAGAAAAGAGAGAAAGACTAAATATAGGAAACATCCACAACTAAGAAATGGGAAGCTAAAGAAGAATCTCCCAAGGGAAAACGACCGCAAACATAAGAGATGACCTAATACAGTGGTTTTCTCTGTTATTCATTTTATTTTGTTTTTGTTTTTCTTTTGAGACAAGGTCTCACTGGCCTTGAACTTATTATACAGCCCAGGCTGGCCTTGAACTCATGTTGATCCTTCAGTCTCCAGAGTGCTGGGATTATACGTGTGTACCACCATGTTCCAATACAGTAGTTTTCCATTCCCAGAAGCCAATGATAAAGCCAAGAAAAATAGCCATTGACTTGGATTTGGTGAAGGTCACTGGTGAATGTTAGAATCCTTATTTCAGGGGCTGGGGATATAGCTCAAGTGGCACAGTGCCTGCCTGGCAAGCATGAGGTCTTGAGTTCCACTCCTGGTACCAGAAAAAAGAAGAATCCTTTTTTCTTCTGCTTCTTTTACTCAGAGCCCAATAAACCTAAAGAAACTCCCAA